AGAGAGAGAGAGAGAGAGAGAGAGAGAGAGAGAGAGAGAGAGTAATTATGTTAATAACTTAGCACTATTATTTTATACTTATCGTTCTTATCATCAAAAGTTTTAAACTATTTTCGCGAAAAATGCAGAGAGAGAGAGAGAGAGAGAGAAAGAGAGAGATGTAATTTCTAGAGTATAATTATGATATTCAAAAAAATATAAGAGTTGCTTTTTAATGAATAATATTGATATAGTTTTATGATATCAAATTCTGCTTTTATTAACTTATATTGAATAAAATAAAAGGTCGAAAATCTAAAATTTATTTTTAGAACATTTTAAATATTTTATTAAATAATGAAATTATTTGGTAAATCAACATGTGTTTTGTTCACAATTAATATAAAATGAAGACTACAGAGAGAGAGAGAAAAAAAAATTGAGAGAGTTTTGGGTTTTCCGTTTAGAATTACATATTTGAAACAATATACTTCAAACAAAAATCCAGAATTATTTTAGAAATTCGGACTGAAATCTAACTAGATCCTGAGAAGTTTTCTATGCAGGTTATTTACATAGATATTAGTAGAAGAGTGTGCTACAATATTGATTTGTAGAAATATTAGACATCAATTCACTACCCTATAGGTGAAACCCGCGATAATTTTTACTCAATTTAATTTAATTTAATTTAATTTAATTTAATTTTCACTCGGGTGTTTCTCCCGGGCAGGAAAGTCGATTTGATCGCACGAGATCCCTGTGATTAGAATCTGGCTGAATCACCGAGTGGATTTGCTCCAATAACCAAATCGTTCGTATATCCGCGTAACAATTTCCGCGAGATAAAACTGGGCGTTGGAAGGGAGGAAGCGTAAGTTTCGGGAGGGACAAACTCCAGTTTGCCCACATTACAACGGAAGAAGTGAAACTGATATCAGCGCGATCGAATTCTGGATTTGGTTGTGTTCGAGTTACCGTGCATATCAAAACGCTTCAACTCGCGCGCGACGATTAGCAGCGCAAAAAAATCCACGCTATCAGCGGCGCGCAGCCAGCTTGATTCGATATGATGCGTATTCACGCGCGTATTCACGATCCGCTATCGCGATACACATGTTGAATTAATACGAATAACGGATAGTTGCGGATAAAAAACCTGTGCACGATCGGGAAAGTTAAACGAAATGCGTATCGAAATGCATATCCGCTTTTCTTCCTTCTTCAGTTCTAGCCCACTTGACGCGCTTTGAGCTCGCATTCGCTCTGGCCGTGTAAACAACAAAACTATTCCCAACGCCCGCGACTGGCTATGGCGTGTATCGATTTCGTGATTTAAACTTCTCGCCGTAAATCGACAATAGTGCTTTCGGGACCGTGCGTTGCGACTTGCGAATGTTTCGTCTGCAACCGCTGTTACTGGTCAATAAAAGAAATAATGCACAAGCGGCGAATTACTATTGACCATCATACATATGATACTGCGCGCTTCTCTCTTTTCTTATTAAGCATTTTCCACTCGACGCGCACCGAATCATTCCGATAAATAATACAATAGGTGTATAAGTAATAAAATATAAGTGAAAACGCGCGAAAAATGTGAGTAATAAAAAAAATTTGAGCATCAAGAAAACAGTGTAAATGACAAACAGTATTTTTCGGTGTGTAAATTTGCTAAAAACGATGCGTTCTGTGTAATTAATTAGACCTCCATAATCTCCCGCTCATTATTTCGAGCAAACAGTACAAGACATTGATATGTACGTTTAACATATATTTAAATAACAACCGTTTGTGTGCCTTGATTAACGGTAATTTGCGCGATTTTTACTGGCTCGATAAATACTGTGGTGACTGTTAATATGTTTAATAATTACTCTCTGAGCGTTTGCTAATATTTATCGTAAATTACAAAACGTTCTTTGAAAGCATCCGATATTTATAAAAATGTCAAGTTAAATATACATATTTTTATATAATAAAGAAAAATGCATGAATATTATATAAAAATCAATAACAGTCATGAATAAATTATTAGAAGACTTTGACCGAAAGATTACAAAAATAGCATATCTCTCGTAAACATGGATATGAAAACACGCACACGCGAGCATATATATACGCAACCATACATACAGTATATTTCGTATAAAGAAATAAAATTGAGAATAAAATTGTGTAGAGAATTTTTGTCCAATGACTGAAATCTCTTTGAAAGGGCATGAAAATATTTTAGGATGAATGATGAACAATGTGTGAAACGTTTTTGTGTTATTGTTTATTAATAAATTAGAGATTTATTTATAAATTAGCAAATAAGAGCTATTACTGTTATTCAGATTAACATTTAACAAGCATCAAGCTCTTATTGGCTGGTTCATATTCACAATCTATTGTTATATAGCAAAGCCAAGATATTAATTATTAGATTTTTTATTGACTTTTCATTGTGTGTGTGATTATCAGTCGCTTGTTAATGGACATTTTCCTAGCTAAATATACGAGACTCGATTTTTTATTGGTGCCGTGAATCAGGCGCGCTCGCGTAAAATACAGACGAAAGTTACCTTCTACTTTTATGGACGATGACGTCATGCCGAATGTTTCGTACTGCAAATTTCTGTTGCGACAGGACTTGCTATCTTCTCAGATTTCGTTTCTCTATATTTCTCGAACTGCCTCGGTTCTTATTCTCGGAACAATCGCTTCGCGCATTCCTGTGTTTGTGCGCGTCCTTTATCCTTCGGTGTTACTTCTCGCCATGAGCTTACTCACTCTTCGCAATCGATCTGATCCTCGATCGTCTCGCATCCCGTCCGTGACGAAGGGGTTATTCTCGGCTTACATCGCGATATTCGACCTCGTCTTGAGCTTCGCTTTCCCGGCACTGCTCCCTTCCGTAAATCGAGACTGAACCACAGACTATTCTCAGCCGCGGAAGTCTTTCCTCGTCAATTTCCTTCTTAGGTGGTGGTTCCCTTTTCCTTGTCGATCTTTCCTGCACCCTCCCTCTCTTTCTTTTTTTCTGACAAGAAGAAAGCCTTGTTTAGTATCGCTCGAATACAATCTCTCCTTGATCCTCTCGTCGATTATTCGTCGGCTCGCTTCAACCTTCACTGCCGTCAAGGCGATTCTCAATCTGTTCGATCCCTCCGAGCTTTCGGTCTTTCGCGTGGCTGTTCTGCGGGTTGCGTTTAGCTTCACACGGGGGCGAGGGCGGCGTCGGTCCTACCGGCGTTAGGTCGCGCGTCACACTGAAGGGAGAATCCGAGGAGAGCGCGGCTCTCCTCGGCCGACATTTCGAACGCAGCCACCTACGCCGCCGCCGCGATGCTTCGCGGCAAGGGGGATGCGCGGGCGCTGTTGGAAAACCACCCCTCCGGCGAGAACGAGTGTGAGCCACCCATCAAGGACGTGACGCGTAGCGTCGCATGGACGGACGCATCGTGCCTATCATCGAAAATCTACCTACGAATCGAAATCAAACTCTCCACTTAGTTTTATTCATCGAAAGTAACGACAATGATGACGTTCCAATAACGAGTGATCGATTACCGATGCGCGATGAACAAGTGTAACGTCCTCGATGTTGTAACTATATCATTTTTATTCTTTGTACCATTTTAATAACAAACATTAATTTTTGAAATTCGCTGTTCGCGTATAAAAGTTTCTCACTTTGATTCCTTAAGCCGATGATAAATATTAAAAAAGAAGTACATCTCATTAATATTTTTTATATTAACACACGGAAAAAATTGGTACAATTAATCTGAATTCAGAATACATCAATTGAATTGTTTTGAGAGAAATGAACCATAATTTTGGTTAAGGTAACCAGACAAATTTGGTTACTTGCATTCTGATTAAAGTAATCAGGTAAATTTGTTTACAATAATAAAAGTATATATTTACATTTCTTATTTGAAATTTTATTACTTTTTTTTAACTGAAAATTGTTTGTTAAAGTGTTAGCATATCATTTATTCTGTTTAAAATTAGTCACTTCAATTGATTTAATGTTATTAAGTACTTATAAAAGTTTGTAAGATAACAAACAAATGGCTGTAGTAACAATTTAGGAATTGTTTTCCTTTAAGTTGCTTTTTAGTTTTTAAATATTGGCTATACTCGATCAGAATTATTAGAATTAATAAGTTGATAGCAGAGTAACATTTGAAATAGTTCCATTCTAAATATATTTAAAATGGAAATGGCATTTTGCATTTTTTCTTTTAAATACTTTTTAGAAAACCATTTTCAATTTAAATTTGAAATGAAAATATTTATACATTTAATCATTTTTAAAATAGGTAAATGGTTTTTCTAAACGCTCACAAATTTCCACTAACGTCATTGACGCATAAGAGAAACCATGTTCTGTGATTGACCAAAACACAATTTCTTCTATAGCCACGTTGAACTTAATGTTCGCGAACATTAATTATCCTTGTTTAACTTTCGATGGACAACAAGAAATGAACAACAATTTCGTGAATGGCCCATATAACACCAAAAAACATTACATAAACCCCTTTTTTGCATAAAAGAACTCGGATGAAAAAGATTGTGAATTTATAATTGCGATTTTTTTCTCATTTCTCTTGAATATCTTTATATATTCTCAAAGTTTAAAACCATTAAAATCCTGCATATTAAAAAATACAAGAAAAACTTGAAAAATAGTTTGATGAGTAAATATCTAATCAGAACTACATGTTGTTTCAAGGTTAATTCGATGCCGATGAAGGTTGAATTAACATTGATTCAACGGCTCATCGATCATTTCGACGTCGAATCAATCTTGAATCAATATTATAGTTCTATCTGCGTATGATTTCTCCGAGTTAAAATAACGAGGAAACGCAGATATAACAAAAAATGTAGTCTAGCTGCATTAAATCTGAGGTTATAAGGTTAAAAAAGTTGCAAAAACTACAATTCCGCCATTTAAAATATTGTGAAAAATTAATAGTCGTGCTGCTGGAAGGCTTAAATAAAAGATTACTTCGATTTTTCTTATCGAGTAAACGATGCTATTTTAGCAGCTGTTAGCTATCCGTTCTTTAAGTTATAATGAATACTAAAAAAAAAAAGAAATAATATCAAAGAATTGCTTGTTAATGAAGCTGAATCTTTACTAACCTGTGTGTCAAAATCTCCAAATGAATCGACGAATGTATCCGAAGTACTACGCTGTGAAAGCTTCATTGCCTTTGAAAGAGGTCATCTTCGGATGAAAGTGTTGCAAATACCTCTATTAAAAATATGATTAAACTGCAATGTTTGCAGTATTTGCAAAATGAGGATACATGTTTGGACTCGCTTATTGCATTTCCTACAATTCAAGAAATTTTTATAAAATATAATACTGCGCTTCTCTCTCCGTCATCTACGTCAGTAGAACGATTATTTTCATATAGAGGTATGATTATGAACCTCAATCATTGAAACATGCACGATGATACATTTGAAAAACAATTATTGTTCAAATTAAACGGTATGCTCCTCAAATAAAATTATAAAATATATAAATAAACTATATATACTAAGAAAAACCATTTTGCATTTGAAAACCATTTAAAATATCTATTTACCAAATTTATATTTAAAATGGATTCGAAAAAACCGTTTTATATTTTGTATTTTAAATACAATTTTTAAAGTATTTTACATTTTTACATTTGGTATTTTAAATGTAATTTGAGAAGCATTTTACCCAGTCCTGGTTGACAGTTTATAGTTTTAAGCATAACATTATATTTAACGCAATTGAAAATGGAACTGAAGAAAGGTTATCTTCGCCACTGCATGCTTTACCACTTTAATTGCAGATGAAACTGCTGCAAAACTGAAAAACTGATTTGTGAGATCTATGGAGAGAATATTGTGCCCGCTGCTCTCTATAAGAAGTGGTTTAAAAAGTTTAGATGTATTGATTACGATATCAACGACAAGTTACGTTCTGATCGTCCAAATGAGATGGAGAACAACGAATTGGAATCATTGCTCAATAAAAACACGGCTCAAACATTAAAAGAGCTTAAAGAATAGCTTGAAGTTGATGAATTAACAGTATTCTAGCATTTGATAGTAATGAAAAAGATCTAGAAGAAAAAAAAATAACTTCTTCATGAAATATTTGTAAACACGACTGCGAACCGGCTTTAGTTTCTTGCTTGCCAGGCACAAAAAAGTTTTTTGTGACGAATATTTATGGAAAATGAAAAACAGATCTATTTTAACAATCCTAAACACAGGAAGTCATGTGTTGATCTCGATTAACTATTAATATCCACAACTCGTGTAGAGACAACCCTTATTTTTTCTCCATTTATTGTTGGATTTCGATGGAATTTCCCCATTAAAGAAAAACTAAAAGGATTTCAACCTGTTTCCCTAACTTAGAACTTGATTTTAGTTAATTTATAGAAAAGTGTAGATCTTTCTCATAACTTCATGACAAGGAATTTAGATATTTAGTAAGATAATAAATGTCTGAGCATTCAAATCCAGGATTTCCAGTTGGAAATCTCCAGGTTCATGCTGGCGCTAGTATCGTCTAACCGAGAAAAATTATGTTGGATGAGGTTGATCATACGAATTCCATGTGCAGCATTCACTTATATAATTAGTAGAGTGTGTTAACCTGAAAAAACGCGATAGTTTTATTATAATTAGTGAAACTGTGCTCTGAGAAGCACAAGTTTAACTCTCTCTATTCTTTTGTGCCAGTTTTCTTTTCGTCATCATTATTCTTACACGCAAATTCAGTTTTACCAGAACATTATTCCGATATTATTTCGACGTTGACAATATTGAATCAACAAATCATTTCCGGTTGAACAAAGCTTAAGTATACGTAATATTTTTTTAATTCTACATTGAAATGTATTTTATGAATAGTTGTTTTTTCTATATCTAAGTTAAATGATTATTATATGAATTTCTTGTGGCAATTTAAAGCTTCATGTGAATAATGTGTTTTTACATTATAAAAATATGTAAATATAATAATAGAAAACATTTTAATTTAGATTTCTCTTTCTTCCACTATAGTTTAAAATAATAATATAAACATCGACCAGGAAACCATATCTGGTTAGTAAGTCTGATTGGATTCCTGTCAGTTTATCTGCCCGGAATCTCTATTAAAAATCGGACGTTTTCAAGCCGGATTCAGACGGGATTTTCTTGTCAGATTCTAGCAATAAATGAAAAGAAGTGACCAGATCCTTGTCCAAATTTCTATATAGAAAAACGCGAGCATTTATTACAAGGATCATAAAGTTCTCTCGTATATTTAGTGGGATCAAAAAAGAGTGTTTTATTATAAGCTATTATCGGAATAAACAGTCACATGAGATTGCTACAGTATTCATGGCATTTGAATTAAGCTATGAAGGGAAAACGCTATTATATATGACAGCAAATCGACGCAAAGTCATCTTGCTTCAAGTCATCTTGCCAAGTCGCTTGTTGCTATTGCGACCAAAGCTGGTATATTTATCAAAAAAAGTTAATTTTGTTTTATTTTTACAACCAGTGCCATTTGCCATTTTGTTTTTCTATATATTACGCTGTATATTATCTATATCTCTCATTCCCCCCTTACAATATTTATATTAATATAAAAGAAATTGGTGAAGTGAGGTAAGCAATATTATGGAATTTGTTAAAATAAAAATATTTGGTGCAAAATATCTTAATATATTAAATACTTTTCTGTTTCTCTTTCTCTCTCTCTCTCTCTCTCTCTCTCTCTCTCTCTCTATTTATCTATCTCTATCTCTCTCGTGAGTTTCCTACGGCCGTCGCTTATCATCGCAACGCTGTTTCGAGTGCATGTCGTGTAACTCACACACGCGTGTGTTTATGAGGGCATATTTATCTCACAAAGTGGAATTCCTTGAAGCGTTTCATCGCATATATCAGGGAGCAATCGAACTACGTTATGATATCAAAACAGCATGTAGCACGTTTGATTTGCATGCCTGCAAGAGCTGTGTATCCGTACCGGGAAAACGCATGGCCTTAAAGAAATTAATTGTATCAATGACTGCATCAATGTCGGAAAACTGAGATTAGATATCTTAATTTTTAAAATTCCATAATTACAACATCTCAGAAAATTGTTTATGACTGACTATGCAAACATAATGAAAGCAAACTTCTGCCGTGTTTAATATTTGCTATGATTCTGTTAATCGTATATTTTGTTTTGTAATAACCAAAACATGCAGCAACATGATCATCTTGCCCTGCTACCAAAATACTATTAGGAAAACAGGTATCATACCTGATACCTGTTTTCCTAATAGTATTTTGGTAGCAGGGCAAGATGATCATGTTGCTGCATGTTTTGGTAATTTTAAACGGTATATCATATGCTTGTAAGAAATTTCATTCAAAGTAATAATATGTTGCTTAACTTTATTCACTCATGATGGAGAATATTAATGCTAAATTTTTCGAAAAACTTTTAAATTTACTTTACTTTATTAAATTAGCTTATTAATATCTTTTAACAGTAATATTATATCGACTTTAATAAAAGTTATAGAAAAATATTTGTGTTCTAAAAGAACCATTTGACGATTTTATTCTTCTCAAAATAAATACTAAAAAACATGCACATGTACACGAGCAACATACTCCTAAGGCCATCTAGAGACTCGGTTTTCTCTATGGTATTATAAATCATCTCTTTCGGCTCACATGTTTCTTTCATGTTGTGCCCAGCGTAAAGCAACCGAGAAAACGGAGAAAAGGTTAATGCGAACGATATGAAACGCGACATGTTCTAAATAGACTTTCGTATTTATGAATGTGAGATAATTTGACGAAAAGAAATTCACCGTTTTTTTAATCACATTCATCAAGCAAATATATTATATTACATTAGTCATTAAATTTACTTTAAAGTAAATAATACTACTTAAACAATAGTTTAATTTTTTTTTATATTTATGTAGTATAAAATTTACTAAGTTCAGCCTACTTTGCTGTTATTTTATAATTTATGTCGCGCTCGTATTTTTACAATGATGATGCAAGTTCCAAAATGACCTCAAAAAAATGATTAATTTAATATTGCACTACACACTAGATGATACCACTTATTTTTGTACAATAAAAATGTTAACTTACAATGCAACTTATTTCTTGATAGCTCGTGTTTGACTTTATTGGTTTCAAAGTGTAATTAAATGAGTTAACTGATCCAGTTTGGCCATGTTAACCGTCCTGATAAAAATTTCACGCAGTTTGTAAGCAGTTACTGAACAGTTATATTAACGTTTGTCTAGTAACTGACGAATAAAACTATTAGGATCCCAAGATGTAACGCTTTTTTGTCTGCGAGAACTGAGCAATAATTGAACAAAGAAACTATTCAGTCGATTAATAAGCAAGTTTATTGCTCATAAAATGGGCAGTTTTGTGCTAGTAATAATAGATATTGTGTGCATGCTTGCTTATTGTACAATTTTAATTTTTAATAAAAGTCAATACAGTTGTAGACATAAAGAATGTTTGATTTTTTATAATAAATTTCAGAATATAACCGAATAGTTTAATATAAGAAACGTATTTCTTAGGTAATATTCTCTCATTGGATTTTTAGGTTACATTGCCAACAAAAAATCAGACAATCTTTATGTCCACAATTGTACAGGAAATCTAAGGTACTTTCTAAGATAGTTTAATGTATTTTTGTCGCAATGCAATTCTATATCATTAATATATAATCTATTTGTCATTTGCTTACTTTCAACTCTAACCTTACTCGTCACTTCTACTATAGCATGTTGCTTTGTTAATTTCCAGATTTCGTCCAACTTCCTCTTCTTTGCTTTATGTTTTGCTACGCGTTCACTTATTCTTTACATAGTTTTAAAATCGTCTCTATACAATATAATTTTTCATGCACATGTGTATGCGATATAAAATTTAATAAAACTATGTTCAGTTCCTTTCCAGTTTTTGCGCAGTTTTGATACAACTATGAAATACAGTAATACTAGATAGTAACTAATTAGGTGTCTAGTAAAAGTGCATAGATTTCTACTAGAGCGTTTGAGAATCCATTAGAATCCATCGAACAGATTTTGAAATTTAATTAAGTCGTTTTTTTCTAAGGACAACACCTGTCGCTGCGACTCACTGAAGATAATTTTATCATTATAAATTACCATAGTTTTACTTTTTATTGTGAAAATAAGTTGCATATAATTAGCACGTAATCAATATTCGTAATTACACTATAAAAAAGAATAGTAATATTGAATTAAATTGAGCGAACTCAATTTCTGTATTATAAGTGGCAAACTAATTGCTTTAATGCTTCTAGCGTAATTTTGATGTTTACGTAATCACTTATTTGTGTCAAGCGATTTAAGTATTTAGCATTAATTAATCATTGAGCTGACTATTCTATAACGTAACGGTAACAAGTTGTCAAATGTAATAACGTGTAAAAAGTTTAACTCAACTTTACTCCCGCGAATTGGAATATGATATATATATATATATATATATATATATATATATATATATATATATATATATATATATA